TCAAATGTGCGGTCACATTAGCAAAGTTTTGATGAAATTTTATAAAAATGTAAATTGTCAACTGTCAATTGTAGTGTGAAGCAAAGCTCGCACAAAAGAAACTTTCAAACTAAGCATCTATCTGTTGGTCAACAACTTGAACACAATGTGAAATCTGTGTGGGGAAAATCACACAAAATTCCTAATCACTTGCATTTCAAAAATGTCTGGATATTGCCTTCAAAAATTAACTGAACAATGGTGATCACATGCATTTTGGACCATATTTACACCTGAATTCAGCACACTTTTGATCAGATGGCCGAAAATAGATCCTGTTAAAACATTTTTTTTCCGGTCCATACATAAAATGTCAGTTGGGTCCAAAACAGCTTGGGCACCATTGACTTTATTTGCACAAAAACAGTTTTTCAAAATATCTTTTTACACATATAGTGTAAACAACATAGTCATGGAAGAAGCACTATCGATTTGAGTCCTTTGGTACTGTGTGAAGATCAGTCCCCAGTTCGCGAACTGGGACAGCTGGACTGGTTCAGTGTGTGTTTGTGTGTGGGAGGAGCTGCTGTAATCTTCTTGTGTTCACAGTTTAACACCTCTTCCTCAAGCTGTATGTCTGTCAGCAAGCTTTCCCACTCCCTGACAGCCCAAAACTAAAGAGACACTCAGCTGTGAACCAGATTTCGTCATCCTTCCTAAACACCTCATTATATGTCACAATTTACAGGAACACAGAGAACTAATGAAAGAGTCACGTCAATTTTATCAAGATTGTGTATACTACTCCATTATAAAAAAATTAAATTTACAAGATAAACAGCTGGTTGTTAATATCAGTGGCACTGCTGGGATGGGAATTTGTTTACAGGCTGTCAAAAGCTAATCCCCTGACGACGTTTAACGACCATACCATTTAGTAAAACTGGTAAAATACACAACAAATTTCACTTCCTTTTAATTTGAGGAGAAGTGTCAACTCAAAGCCTCGTTCTCACAGAGAAAGAAGAACAATGATGTCATGTAAAGTACCAAACTGTCCAATAATGTCCCTGTAAAACTGTATTGATAACTGAGATTTACTGAGAAGAAAGAAAGAAAGAAAGAAAGAAAGAAAGAAAGAAAGAAAGAAAGAAAGAAAGAAAGAAAGAAAGAAAGAAAGAAAGAAAGAAAGAAAGAAAAAGAGGAGTAAACCGCAGTATTTAATTTGAACCTCAAACTAGTCATTTAGCCTCTCCATAATCCCTGGGTCTGGTGCTAAGTCTGGTAATTATTCTTATTGGACACCGATAACCATCACAAGCGTTTCGCCTGCATGCTTCCTTTAAGTGGAAAAGCAATCAGTAGACTGGCGAAACCAAAAGCAGGACCTGCTCATAAAAAAAAAGTGGAGAGGGAGGGCAGGAATTACAGCACACCGGTATTCGTCATTTGATCATTGGGCAAACTGTCTTCTAACTTTCTCTTGAGCGAGAACTGCCCCTGCCTCCACTCTCTCATGAACACACACCCATCCTGTTTCAGCTGACAAAGTTCACATGTATTGTTGTATAACCACGAATAACAGCTCATCATAAAACAACCTTTGCCCTTCTAAGGTGACAGACAAGTGAAATGGCATAGCAGGTCATGAAACACACAAGAGAGAGAGACAGAGATAAGCTACGATAGAAACAGACAACGAACAACACAAGATTGTCAGCCAGCATTTGGCAGAAAGAGAATACATCCGGCTCTAGAATGCAGTCCAGATTTCCAGCTGAACATATACTAATACAGTGGCTCTTTTCAGATATTTTAAGTGGTAATCAAACAGTACCATTCCTAAAGGGTTAGTTTTATTTTAGATTTAGTCTGAGAGCTTTCTGTCCCTCCGGTATACCGTCCTTATCTAAAAAGGAGATAACGACATCATCAAAGTAGTCCATGTGACATTAATGGGTTAGTTCGAATGTTTTGAAGCATTGAAAATACCTTTTGATCGAAACTTGACAGCCCAAAAAGTAATTGAAGAAAATATTTAAATATTCCATGTGACTACAGTGGCTCAAGTATAATTTTATCAAGCGACGCAAACACTTTTTGTGCAAGCATATTCTTCAATGACTTTCTGGGCCGTCTAGTTTCAATCCCTTAGGCAGCCTATGTGGTAGTGATCCACCTCTCAATTTTAATCAAAAATATCTTCATTTGTGTTCCGAAGACAAACAAAGGTCTTACGGGATTGGTACAGCATGGGGGTGAGTAATTAATGACTTAATTTTCATTTTTGGGTGAACTATCCCTTTAAATTCAAACAACATTAAACTACTTTCAACTGCACTTTTAAAAGCTTTCTATCCAGACAATACAGAATCTCACCTTGGCAATCACTTTGACTGCCATTCAGAAACCAACACCTACACGGTCTCCCTTTCTTCTCTAGTCAGTCACTGAACACATCTCAAACTAAAGATCAAAGCAACTCACAGGAAAGTGCAAATATTTGATCTTGACTCCATAAAATTCCAGGGTATTCAAGATAGTCTAAGTCTAAAGCTAAAAGAAGTCTTGTAAAAGTTAAGTGCCAGTAACTGTAGTGGTATTTAGTTGAATAAGCTAGTTTATGTTCATACTAAACACAAATAGACAAGTGTTCTGGAGTCACTATGACAGGCGCCGCATCTCAGACCTTACTGGAAATCTGTCAGTGCTCTGCATTTGAGTCTGGGACAGGTCATGGCAGGTCCTCCTATCTGCTTTATGGGCCCCACCTGCCTAATGTAATGGAGCTTGAAAGGGGTTGCAGTTCTCTCTGTGCTTAGTGTTTCATTTTTCTGTCACTGAAAATGGATTCATTCAAACTATGTACAGGTAGTCTCACATCAGATCTACAGTATATATAGTCTATAGTCTCATTATAATCAAGCTATCATAACAGTATAATTTTGATGATCTCATCTGTTGACATTATGCTGTTTTTTTTTTTTTTTGCAGAGCTGGTGCAAACATATCCACATCGCTATCAAGGGTTGCCAACTTTGGGACTTTGGCTGGAGTGAGACTGTAAAATTTCAGTGAAAATCTCAACGCTCTTGTGGGCAGCGTCTGGATGTTCATTAACAGCATATCACTGCAAAGGTATTTCCAACCAGTTTTTTTTTTTATTATTTCTAAGCAAAGAACGAAAAAGAACTTTGCAGCAATTATTTCGGGGCCTATAAGTTGCTAGCTGCAGTTCACTTAACGGCCACCAGTGTTACTAATAACAAGGGTTTCTGAATTCTACCCAAATGTGCCACACAAGTCCTGAAAAGTGAAGCCAAAACGTTTCGTATCACCCCCAGGTGGCTGGACCCAGTATATAAGTCATAAACCACATCTCCCGAGCGAGTGAAGATGTGTCGTCCATCTTATTATTTACAGTGCACGTTTTCTTGCAATGTTGCAATTTCAGATACACGCTACTCACACTATTTATTTATACTACAAAACGGCAAAGAATAGTGCATAAGTATGAAAAGAGAGACAAACCTGGGATTTTTTTTTTCGTGAACAATCAAATTAACTAGAACATTTTTCATTTGTGAACAAATCAAATGTAATCTCTTGTTGTTGTTTTTTTATATTTCGAATATGATGACTCCCATTGCACGATGGGATAGTGAATTAATTGCCACTTAATGTCTGATTTTGCTACATTTTCATAAATAATGCATATTTCAGCCATTCTACTTATCTGGCATACTTTTTGCGTACTATGTCGGTATGCAGGGACTCGGTTCTCACCACCTACTGGAGTAAAGATGTAACCTGTAAAAAGAGTCACTCAAAAGAACAAACCTTTTTGGTGTATTCAAACTCAGACAGCAACATAGTCTGTGCATGTACAGTCAACACACCAATATGCACAGACTGCCAAAACACATGAGGTAGCCTCAATCTTCCTGAGTCCTGACCCCTACAAAGTAACTTAGTCTCTTTAGATATATAAAGGCTTTGCCTTTACTCGAGTCAAAAATAAACACATATTTTTAGGCCAAGGCAAAAACAGGACTATCCACTTCTAATATAGGCCTAAATATGAGCCATGTAAGGTTAAGTTTCGACCTTATGACATCAAAAGCGTTTAATTGTGCCTGTCATCGTGTGTGAACGTACCTCGCATCTCTAATAACGGCTGTCAAAATTAGCAACAGCTTGAAATACATTTTCTATTCGTGTACGTGCCGACAGTAGAGCAGGTCGAGACACACACTGCGTCAAAAAAAGCTACACGTTACGATACATAAATTCAAATTTAACATGGTATATCTGACAAGCGAACATTATCTTCATCACAGTCCCACTCAGGATCTGCTTGCATTATTCTGTCCAAACGTAGGCTACAAGGGGGGGGGGCGCGTTCAAGGTTAAGCACAGGGAAACAGTAGGAATAGAATCTAGCTTAATTATTTAATCAACCGACCAAAGTTCTCAAACTCTGCGGTATTGTTCTTCGAGAAAGCGACTTTTCCTGTTTGGAAACAATATTCTAGAATATGTCGGGTGTACGTGGCGAGGAATAAATCGATTTGACATTACTCGCGAGCGACAAACTAAGTGCAAATAGAGCGTACATGTTGTAAATGTAAACTTGATTGCGCTAGTATAATGCGATGCTGCTGACGTAGAACATCACAATCATACTGAGGGAGTCTGTTTCAGCCCCCTAAAATCAGAACATACTCCATTATGTTTGAGTTGTCGCTCGACTACTAAACAACCGTCGTTTGGAAAGTCCCGGTTAAGTTTAACGTTACAACTGCATCGCTACTAGGCTGTTTCTTACATCAGCCACAAAATAGCTTGACTAAAATCACCGCAGTCCGGCGGCGTACCGAGATCCTCCGCTGCAGCGAACAGGAGGGGGAGGAGGGTGGCAAAGTTGCCGCAGTTTGGAGTTGTGTCTGGGGGCAAGCTTCGACCATTCAGCTCCCCTTCCACTAAACTAGTTTAATAACCCCGCTTCGGATTTCTCTTACCTTGAGCACCGGGAGAAGAGTAGTGGGATTTTTTCGGTGGTAACGTTAGCTCTCTGGAAGGGCAAACTACTCAGTCGCGTTTGACTTTTTGAGGATGAATAGATCAGCTCTCAGCAGGGTCCTCGCTAGTTCCTTCACTCACCCCCTCCCTTGCGCCACAAGATCAAACCATCACATTCCTTCGACATCCAAACAATGAAAAAGGTGGGTTTTCCTTTGCCAAGAAAGACCCACCCCTAGAACGACTACGCCGTTTGTGACCGCAAAAAGAACGCCCTGCCCGGGTAATACGGTCCCGCCTTCCCCGAGAGAAAAGTGAAAGAGTGGATCAGTCGAGAGCACTAGAGGAAGCTCGAGGAATAACGGAAACCCACTTCACAAGCTGGACTTTATTTTTTAGCACTTATCAATACAGATGTTGAAACATTTAAGACAATTAAATTATATATAATATATCAATTATTGTAAACTCACTTTAACTCACACATACATATATATATGTTACAATGGATAATTCAAAAACGTAAATAAAAAAAAACATGATAAAAGAAATATTCTCTGTATCTCTGCATTGACAGCATGTGTGACGTCACTCCAAAAGTGGGCACTGCAGTGTCCTGGCAAGCAACGTTGCAGTAAAAAACACACACTCACACACACACACACACACACACACACACACACACACACACACACACACACACACACACACACACACACACATTTAAGCAATTCCTTGTAGCATGCAAATGGTTAATGGTACAATTTAAATGGTATTTAATTCAAATTTGAATGATATTTAATATATTTTAATTGAATTCATAATTGCACCATACCATAAAAAACACACATTTACATTACCACCCACAAATATTATAACAAACATAATAATATTATATTTTACCCTTAACTGTTTTATTCAAAGTCTTGATTATTATTGTTTTTGTGTAAAAAAAAAAAATAATAAAAATAGTTTTTTTTTATGTGTGTTGTGCTTGCAAAGCAAATAAATAGATATGTTACCTAAAGGCAACAGTGCAGTAGAGGGCTAAATTAAACATATATTTCCCAACCCTTTAAACTCTTAATAGTGGCCAGAAATAGTGCAGAAAAAAGTTTCCAAAGTGGGATTTGACCCAGTATATGATTGCTGGTGTACAGCCTCAACCCGCAAGCAACTACCAAAATCACACCCTTATATTTTTTAGCCACTATGCTGTTTCACCAAACTTTGATTGCATTCTTTTTACTCTTCATTAGAGACATTTCAAAGTGATGCATAGTGGTTTCTCATTAGAAAACCAACTTGCTCACTCCACTTTTTTGATGTTGAGAGAAGAGAAGGCGTGACTGTAATTTTCAAAAGAAAATTCAAGACAAACATTTATATCCACTCCAAATGCACACAATCCTGTGTTTGTTCCAAAAAGAAAGGAAAGCGTTTATTTCTGAAAGCAACAACTATTAGTGCATGGGCCAAGTTTTATTCTTGTGCTGCAATTTACTATTTAAGCACTCAGTAAACTCAGTGAACCAGGCATACATTTATTATTTTTACTTTATGAAAAGTGTATGAAAAAATCAAATCTGCCCACCATGGTAACAAACACTGTGGTCATGTATTGAGGTCCATGTGTAGTAACTGAAAACTATAATGAATAGGTTTAGTTGCTTTCAATGTATTAAAATAAGATGAGCCATTAATGAACCAGACTTGCTTTTCACAGTCCAAGCTTCATATGCTCTGTTGGGGATGGATAGCAGTTAAAATTACTATTTCTCCAGTGGCAGTGATCCTATAAGCACATGACAGAAAAGAAAAACAGCCTCCTGGCCTCAGAGTGGCTGAAGTGTAACCAACCAATAGTTACACCTGCCATAGTTAAGATTAATTTTCACCATATGCTTTTGACTTTCCTGTTTTAGGAATCTTATGCTGTATTATATTATCCTATTTATGTATTTGCCATATAACAGTATTTTTGTATAATTTAACTGTGCCTATTTTAAATTTACACTGTATTGTATTATATATCTTAGTTAACTGTCTCTTACTGCATGTTGCAAACATTAGATTAATAGGGTTACTTTGCCATATAGAACATATCAAAATCTGGAAATTAAATGTAACAAACCATTGGAAAATTAAACAACTTTTTATCAAACTTCGATATTTGCCATAATCCTGGCATTGATTCAACAAGGTGCTGAAAGCATTTTTTAGAAATGTTGGCCCATATTGATAGGATAACATCTTGCAGTTGATGGAGATTTGTGGGATGCACATCCAGGGCACGAAGCTCCCGTTCCACCACATCCCAAAGATGCTCTATTGGGTTAAGATCTGGTGACTGTGGGGGCCAATCTTACTCGGGCATGGTTCATGGCAACCGTGCCTAGTGTGAGTACACACTAAGCCCCAGGACTGGCTGGACTTAGCAGGCCGCCCTGGGACTGATACCCGGATTCAGGGTTCATAGCAATCAGTTGTTTAGCTTGCTATCAGGTAGTAGGCCTCTTCAGGCCTTCCTGAAGGCGAGTTTCCACATAGGGTGGTTATCAGGTAGTAGGCCTCACTAGGCCTCCCTGAAGGCGAATTCCCACATATGGTTGTTATCATGTAGTAGGCTTCATCAGGGCTCCCTGAGGGCTAAGTCCCAAGGACAGGCAACTGGACAGCTAGCCCAGACTAGCTATCAGATAGTAGGCCTCACCAGGCCTCCCGGAGGGCGAGTTTCCACAATTGGATGGTTACCATCCAATAAAGCAACATTTTTACCCATTATTTATCTGCATATCTGAACACCATTTGTTACACGTATGAGTTTGAATGTCAAGGGATAAAACAAGCTGTCATCGGTTAAATCAAAACACTCTTCAATTATTTTTGAATAAGGCCACTGCATGTCACAGCAGGAGAAACTGTAGCTGGGGAGAAAATCGTTTGCACTGTTTGGTGAACTGTGTGCTAAATATGTGGGAAAATTTTCTCTTTCATAATACCACTAGGGTGAAGGTGATTTCACCAAGTACAACATGTTCCTAGATGACCAAAATGTTGAGGGACAAGTATACAGTTTTCCCCAATTTAGGTTTACAACAAGAGTTAGGGGCTTATGCACCATTCTTATTCACCTATCATTTCTCTCTGATTTTAGGGGTAAGTTATGGGAGGGATAGGGTTATCACAAAATTTCCGTGAAGAAACGTTGTTTCTAGGACCAACAAAAAATTGAAGTTAATCACAATATTTATTAGTTCTGTCATTCCCTCACCATAGGATCTTGAGGCCCTTACTTCACATTGCGAGATCACAACAAGTTAATATGACGTCCCCAATAATTAAATAGAAGCAACATAGTATCATGTTCCCACAAGTTAATATGTTGTGCTAACAACGTGGACCGAAGATGTCCTCTCCCGGTCACTGTACAGTTGAATCCCATAAAATCTGTTCAGCGGTTGTTAAATCATTAAAAGAACAGCCTCAAATGTGTGAAATGCATGCTTTAAAACAGCATGGCATGATAGGACATGCTCAGGTATCGGATCAGTGTGTCACAACACGAGAGAAAGGTCTTGGGTATACTGGCATATTTTTCACTCTTTTCAACATTCAAATGTCAGCTTGCAGATATAAGGAGAAGAGATTTATTATTGAGTGAAATACAAGCTGTTTTATCTTAAGTGCTGATCTGTGAATCATCCTCAATATACCTGGACACTCAGGAGCTTCTAGGCGTATTGAAACTCTCAGCCAAACAATATCTCAGAACTAAGACGCCTCATATCTCTCTCACAATTGTTTACAGCACAGTCCTGAGAAGTAAGCAAACCATGTGTTGTTATGTCATCTCATTGCAAGGGGTGTTTCTGTGCAGTAAATGGTGCTCACTAATGTACTTCAGCCTTTTCTGGAATGTGGCTCTCTATCTCGATAATATCGCATGATGCCTTTGGGCTGCAGGCCAACATTCCCCAAAGAGCACCTGGGTGAATTTGCTCCATCGCTTTTCTAGATTCCATCTGCAGGACCTGCCCTCTGTAAGAAATGATCAAAGTTTAAAGAATTGCAATGAAAATGATGGTGTGTTGCCCAGACAGAGTGAATTTTAAAAGTATCCACTCATTAGTGTGGTTTCTCAGTTATGTGGAAATAATTGTATTACCAATAACATTACTGTGAGTGTGATACAATTGAACTAATTCTGAGTACAATCAACATTGAACAGACTTGAGCTGAATATTGTCGTTTATAGAGCTGTGCAAAGCTAAATTGAACTTGTTTAATAATTGATGAACTTTGCAATGCTGACAGAGTTGTTGAACTGAATTTAAAACAACGTCGAACTCATTTAGACTGAATAATGATGCTATTGTTTTTTGTAAAGCTCCTTTACTGAAATTGAATTTGTTTCATTATTGATGAGTTTTACAACATTTACAGTTTTTCCTGTTTATTAATACGAAGTTGCTTTAAAGGCACAATGTGTACTTTTTGTGTATTTTATTGTTTAAAATCAAAATTTGTATTCATAAATATGTCCTCAATGGTGTACAAATACCTCTGCCAATTATCTGACTTATACTTGTAAACAAAGAATTTATTATTTTTATATACAGTATATGGGACAGGTAGGCCCACAGAGGCTTCCATGTTCCACCATCTTGAAAAACTAGCAGAGAGGGACAAAAAGTACTAGGCCAACGTGTTTCCACAGAGAGTTTTCGTTCAGAGCCAGCATGACGTCACTGAAAGCAGCCGAAATGGAGAGGCGCTACCCCGGCAAGTTTAAATAAAAAGGCTTCATTGCATCCTCGTCGCCAGAAAATCCAAATGGAAACGTGACCGGAGATTACAAACACATTGTCAATTTAAAAAAATCTGTATTATAAAGTGCTATATAAATACATTTCTTTTGTCAGGGGTTCAAATTGGTTCAATGAATGATTCAGTGATTCATAACCACAGTCGCCACCTTGTAACCTGCTGTTGGATTGTATCAGGATTCAGGCAGACAGATAGACAGACGGATGGATTGACGGACGGGCAGACAGACAGACAAATGGATGGATGGTTGGTTTGCTCCAGCAGCATGTTTCTCATCTCTGTTGCAGGCACTATCATAACAGTAGTTTGGTTGACTATAATTAATCTTAATCCAGGATTTAGTTTGTGGCTCCAGCTTTCTTACTCTATCCTCTGCAGAACGGGATCGTTCTTGACTCTTGACTGAAGTGAGCACTGT